CGGCTCCTTACTTAGACTTGCAGCTGTCAAGCTATTGTCACGCACCCTTCCCCGGACGTTTGGGGGCCCCCCTGCTAATTACGATAATTCATGAAGTGGCTTCTCTGGCAAATCACATCCAAGGATTCAAGAAATGCGCGAGATCCTTATGCCTTGAGTGGTGCCGAGGCCTGCGTGATTGCGGCGACGTGCCACAGCATGCTCACGGGACTAGAGTGTAGTGACCTGTGCGCATCTGAGGCATGCCTGAAACCGCTGAATGTGCCTTGGCTGCATTTCTTTGCCTGTGGCAGTAAGTTCTTCACGGAGACGACTGTAAGCATCTGGCTATAAGCAGAGCCATATGAGGCACGTCTGGGATCGGCTTGGTGCCCCGGTGTGGCGGATAGACACCGGCCAAGCCGCAGCGGAAAACAAAGCTTCGGTCCGTGGGCTGTGACCGTGCACGACAGGTGCCTGCAGAGCCAGTGCTGAGCTGTGACATTACCCAAGTCTGCATGTATTCTTGCATACACTTCCTGCCTATCTGTGCGGTGCCTGACACTTGCTTTGTTCGTTGTCAGCGCTTTCATTTCTCTATTTCAGCCCGAACGAGAGTAGTTTTTCGGATTTCGAAGCCATGCCGAATATCATTGGCCGCTTCTCTTTGTGCGCCGGCTTCGACGGCGTTTGTCCATGGAAGCAGGCGTTCGGGCTTAACCTGGACTTGGAGTCTGGTCGGCAGTGTCCACTGTGCGGCGCAGAGTCCCTGCGAGCAGCTCTCGAATCCCGCGGTGGACAGGACCTGACAGGCGGACTACTGCGATTGAAGAACACGGACCAGGCTGCATACCAGTTGGCATTGCGCCGTCTTGACCGGTTCCACGGCGCCGACCTCATGAACACGTACCAGTCTCGAGTCGAGCGAGCAGAAGCTCGTCAGCGTGTGGCGGTCCTGCGTCGTCCGGCAGCCAATGCTGGCGAGGGCCGCCCTGATGGTCTTCCCAATGATCAGCAGGCTGCAAACGGCTCCTGAAGCTCTTTCATCCTTG